ATTCAAAACGGACAAATTAACAAGTCAGACTGTTTGTTTTTTTTTTGAAAATTGCTTTCTCCCTTCCCCTCTGGGAAAGTGGGTTGAAAAGTGGATGATGTTTACAGCACAGATCAAAGTCCAAGTGAAGCCAATGGATAAGGGGAATTGGACTGTGCACAGCGCTGCCTAACCAATGGTAACTGGTACCTAATGCCAGACTTGCAAACATGAGTGGCTGTGCTGCTGAGAGGGAAGGAACCTGCAGTTACTCAAGAGAAGATTTTCCTGAGGTATCAACTTGCCTTGAGCTGCCCTTTGAGGCTTATGAATGCTTGCCTGCTTGGGGTTTCAAGATTCTGTGTGTCAAAAGTGGGATTACAGAGATATTAAAACTTCACCACTACAGTGCACATATTGATTAATTACCTCCACAAGGATTCCAACAGGAGGTCATGCCTGACATTTCTGTTAGAATTCTTTGAGAAGGTAATGAGCCAGTTAGACAAAGGAGATCCAATGGACGTGATCCACGTGGATTTCCAAAAGGCCTTTGACAATGTGCTGCACTGAATGCTGCTAAATAAGATCAGAGACAATGGTGTTAGGGCAAGGTACTGGCCTTGACAGAGGATTGGCTGACTGGTAGGAGTCAGCGAGTGGGAATAAAGGAGTCTTTTTCAGGATGGCAGCCGGTGACTAGTGGAGTTCTGCAGAGGTCAGTGTTGGGAACACAACTATTCATGTTTTACGTTAACGATCTGGACTAAGGAACTGAGGACATTTTTGCTAAGTTTGAGATGACACAAGGATGGGGGAGAAACGGTCGGGTTGAGGAGAATTGGGGAGGTGCAGAAGGGCTTGGACAGGCTAGGAGAGTGGGCAAAGAATTGGTAGATGGAATACAATGTGGAAAAGTGTGAGGTTATGGACTTTAGTAGGAAGAATAGAAGCATAGACTCTTTTCTAAATGGGGAAGGGTTTCAGAAATCTGAAGCTGAAAGGGGCTTGGGAGTCCTAGTTCAGAATTCACTTAAAGTTAACATTTAGGTTCAGTTGCAGTTAAGAAGGCAAATGCAATATTAGCCTTCATTTTGAGAGGGCGAGAATACAGGAGGGGTCATGTACTGCTGAGGTTGTATAAGGCTCTGGTCAGACTGTCATTTGAACATTGTGAGTCCTGTATCTGTGGAAGAATATGCTGACCTTGGAGGTGAGTCCAGAGAAAGTTTACAAGAATGATCTCGGGAATGAAGGGCTTGTCATATGAGGAGTGGTTGAGGACTCTGGGTCTGTACTTGATGGAATTTAGAAGGATGAGGGGGATTTGATTGAAACTTACAGAATACTGAGAGTCCTGGGTAGAGTGGACATGGAGGAGATGTTTCCACTAGTAGGAGAGACTACGACCTGAGGGCACAGCCTCAGATTGAAGAGACACAACCCTTTAGAATTGAGATGAGAAGGAATTTCTTCAGCCAGAGGATGGTGAGTCTGTGGAACTCGTTACTGCAGACGGCTGTTGAGGCCATGTCTTTAAGACAGAGATAGATGTGTTCTTGATTAGTAAGGAGACCAAGGGTTAAGGGAGAAGGCAGGAGAATGGAGTTGAGAAACATTTCAGCCATGATTGAATGGTGGAGCAGACTCAGTAGACCAAATGGCCTAATTCTGCTCCTGTATCTTATTGTTTATTAGAAGGGTTATGAAATAAGCTAGAATAAATGAGGAGTACTTCACTCTAATGAGGGAGTTTAAACTTACATTGTGTCTTTAAAAGAGACCCAAGGGCATTGCAAAGGTCAGGGAAACCGTGCATTTGGTTTCATTGATTCTCCAAAGACTGCCTACCATGTACAAGGCCAAATTTTGGATTTTGTTCTGAAATTTATACTCCAGCCATAAGATTCATTTCAGGGTTAATGAGACATTCTCTGAATCCATCCTGCTTGCAGGTGGAAGAAGTTGAGTTGCCCACAGTGATCCTAACCTCTTTGTTATTAATGTTTTCAGTGGTATTAGCAGTGCCAGTCACAAAGTGTCTGTCTGAGATATTTCTGAAGGTGTCATGATGCTCCTGTTCCCAGCTTCTTTGAGTATGTTTTGTGGACTTTGCCTTATGTTAAGTGTGTTCAACCTAGAACAGGCAAAGGATGTTGTTTTTGTGCAGAAACCTACCAGCTGAGGAAACGCAAAACAGAAAACTCATGCAAAAGCTGAAGGAGTTTGGCTAACATTTCCTCATCCATATTTAAGTGGGAGTTTATTAGATTAAACTAAAAGTGTCCAAACCCATTGAAATAGCAATTGGAATTTCAAGCGAAATACCTCTGTGCTGTAGCATTTTGGCACTTTCGTGTTCATGAGAGGGGAAAGGGGTACAAGATAAGATTTGGTTTAAGTACCTGAGTTTCTTAGCTGAAGATAGAACACGGATATCAAAGAACTGTAGAGCAGGAAATGCTATCATAATACTTGAAGTAAAAGATGTTTGGAAGATACAAACCCAAAACTTGGAAAGATTGACCAGTGTTGTGTTTGGGCAAACATTAATCATAAGTACCATTAAAGTTAGTCTTAATTGATTTATCACAGTGAATTCCTATATTTTCTTGGATTGGTGACCTGGTAGGAATGGCACTTTTTATTGTTGATGAAACAACAAAGCTTAATTTCATGATATTCTTCACATTGAAAACCAGGTAAGTGTTTAACTGCATGTGATTGTCCGATGTCAGGCAGGTAAATCTCATAGAATATGAGTTCCCTGATTGGGGCTATTAATCTGGTCCAATCAGGGAGCCCTGGCTGACAGATATAAACGGGAATGACAGAGGTTCTATTCACTCACTAGAGCTGGCTCTGAGGAAGCTGGATCAGTGTCAACTACTATGCATGCTCAAATAAAGGGTAATTTGGTGACAGAATACTGGCCTCTATGGATTTATTTCGCCTTTTGAACGCCATTGTTCGTTTTGTGTGCTGCACGGAATGATATCTTGTGATTCCAGGCTCAATGTTTAGTGTCAAATTCAACTTAGACTTATTTTGAGGTGGCTTCAGAGTTTCTGTAAAACATGAATGTGTTTTGAGAATACATTGAAATAATACCATTCAGCTTAAACAAATTGAAAATGTGGGGAAAAGAATGTTTACCAGTTATGTAATTTTCTCTGTTAAACTCCAACCGCAAAGATATTAAAATACAGGAATCACTCATGGTAGTTGCTCTTGGATTTATGTAAACCTTGTCATTCTGTTTCCCTTTTTGTTCTTTCCTTTTGATTAATGAAAATCAATAAAAATGTTGAATTTTCAACATGGCTCAGTGAAAGGGAAATCATTAAGTTATTTGACTAAATCATTGGAGGTTTTTTTAAAGGAAGCGACAAACAATATAAATCAAGTGTCTCTTGTGGTCGTGCTTTATTTAGATTTCCAGAAGGCATTTGACAAAGTGCTACATCCAAGGTTAACCCTTTTATTCATTCACAGGATGAGGGTGTCTCTGACTAGGCAGCACTTATTGCCCAGAGGGCCGTTAAGAGTCAACCACATTGCTGTGGGTCTGGAGTCACATGCAGGCCAGACCAGGTGAGGATGGCAGTTTCCTTCCCTAAAGGGCATTAGTGAACTAGATGGGTTTTTCCCCAACAATTGACAATGGATTCACAGTCATCATTAGATCCTTAATTCCAGATATTTTGTTGAATTCAGATTCCACTATTTGCCATGGTGGGATTTGAACCCAGGTCCCCAGAACATTATCTGGATCTCTGAATTAACAGTCCACCGATATAATACCATTAGACTATCACTTCCCCATCGTTAATTCACATCATAAGAACTCCTGGTGTAGGAGGTGTCAGCCTGAGACAATCTTGTTTGATTTACTCCCTTCCCTTACTGAGGGAAGCTGAAGGGTATTCACCATATCCTGGATTTCAGATTCCAATTTTTGAAATAAACCCACAGCAAAAAAAACACCCTTTATAATTAAATCCAAGGCAAGTTTGACTAACAAAAACATTCAAACATGGGGGATTTCCTTCAGTAGTTTATTCGCAATTGGAAGCATTGAGGAAATGAATGAAGACAGGACAGGAGAGAGAAAGGTAGGTTATAAATTTCATATTTTGCTAAAACCAATTCAGCTGAGTTAAATTCCTGGAGGAATGGTGTCCTCATTAAGCTGGGCCTCGGCATTTTTCTTCTAGCGGGCAAAACGTAGGCTTCTTTCCATCTAGAAACTTAGTGTCAGAGATGAGGTACTGACCCAGGATGCCATAGAGTTATACAGCATGGAAACAGACCCTTCGGTCTAAATCATGTGTGTTTTTTTTTTATCTTTCCCCTCTCACCTTAAACCTATGCCCTCTAGTTTTGGACTCCCCCACCCCTAGGAAAAAGACCTTGGTTATTTACCCTATTTATGCCCTTCATGATTTAATAAACCTCTGTAAGGTCACCCCTCAGCTTCACCCTATAGCTCAAACCCTCCAGTCCCAGCAACATCCTTGCAAATCTTTTCTGCACCCTCAAGTTTAGCAACATCCTGTCTACAGCAGGGAGACCAGAACTGTACACAGTATTCTAAAAGTGGCTTCACCAAATGTCCTGTACAGCTGAAATTTGATGTCCCAACTCCTACACTCAGCGTTCTGACCAATGAAGGCAAGTGTGCCAAATGCCACTTTCACTACCCTGTCTACCACCCTTTCAAGGAGCTATGCACCTGCACCCCTAGGTCTCTTTGTTTAGCAGCACTCCCCAGGACCCTACCCTGCAGTCCTTCTGGAGGCCAAGCAACAACTGATTAGAGTAGAATAGAAATTTATTGTCATGTGTACTTTTACATGAAAGATACAGTGAAACGTTTTATACGTCACCCTACTGTGGTGCTTATATTAATGACAGAAGTCAAACATCATAATTTTTAAAAAGTTAAATTAAGACAAAGTTAATCACAGTTCAGTTAACGGCTCCTGGGCTCAGGGAGAGCCAATTAATGGAATACCCTGAAGACGCAGCTGGGATGAGACTGCCACAGTGGACCGCTGGAATACTGGGCCGGAAGTGTCTGCTGAAGAAGACCACCATGCCAGGCGAGACTGCCACTCCTGGACGAGCCCTCCTGCTATGCTGCTGGAATACCTGGACGCCCCAAAGAAGACATCCACACGAGGACAAGACTTCCATGCTGGGACAAGACCGCCATGCCGGGCTGAGACCACCATGCCAGGCTGCTGAAAACCACCTCATTCGCTGGTCTGGGAGAAGTCTTCCACCGAAGCTGTTAAAAGAAGATAAGATGAATCTTGATAATAACTATAATAACTGGAAATAAAAATAAAGTGCAGAGAAAAAAGAAAAAGTAAAAGTGGACGGAGTAGACAAGCTGCTGGACTAAGGAGACTATGCACTGCACTGCTATTCCATTGCCATCTTACATAAGACTTAGACTCCCAGAATTGTACATTTAGTCATGTGACAAGAACAGGCATTTCAGGTCCTGATGGTCCACCTTGGTGGGCTAATTGGTTCTTGTTAAGGTTAAGCGAACAATGTGGCTTTACCGTCTCCTGCTCCGTTAGAGTCTCTGTTGACAGGTGCTGAGGTTACTGTGAAAGAATGTATCCATTTCTGGAAAAATGCAGCAGGTCTAGCAGCATCTGAGGAGGATGTTGGAAGAAGGGTCACTGGACCCAAAACGTTAATTCTGCTTTTTCAGCCGATGCTACTCGATCTGCTGAGTTTTTCCAGCAATTTCTGTCTTTGTTTCTGATTTCCAGCATCTTTGATTTTTCTGTTTTCTTTGAGATATCTCTTCGTGCCCTCTGACCTTGATAGGCCTATTTATTAGCATAAATAGAAGATTAGTGAACAGGAAACAGAGAGTAGGTGTTCGTGGGGTATTTTTGAGCTCACAAAATGTGGCAGTTGGAGTGTCACAGGGATTTATGCTGGGGGCCTCATTAGTTTACAATTAATATTCATGACTTGGATGAAAGAATCACATATGTGGTTGCCAAATTTGGTGACGACTCAAGGACAGTTTATGAAGAGAACAGAAAGTGTCTGAAAAGATATGTAGATAGGTTATTTGAGGGGCAAAAATTTGGAAGATGGAATAATATCAAAATAGAAACTGTCCAGAACAGGCAGGCAATGTGAGATTGCTGAACTCTGACGTACAGAGGTACTCGCATGTCCTGGTTCATGGATTTAGTATGCAGGTACAAGCAAGTGATTAGTAAAGCAAATAGTATATTGTAATTTCTTGCAAGGGGAATTGAAATTAAAGGTTGGGAAGTTTTGTTACAGTTAACAGGGCATTAGTGAGTATGGCGAGTACTGTGGACAGTTAGAAGTGGTTCAACTGATACCTGAGATGGTGGGGAGATCTTATGAGAAAAGGTTGGACAGGCTGTATCCTTTATTCACTGGATGTTAGCACAATAAGATGTCACCTTAATGAGATGCATCAGATCCTGAAAGACTTGGTAGATGCAAAAAGGGATTTTTTTCTTCTTAGGGAAGCAACTAGAAGTAGGGGACAGAAAGAGGCAATTTGACCCATTCAAATCTGTACCATCCTTCTGAAGAACATCCCGCCCAGACCCACCCTATTCCCCCCATTTCCCATGGCTAATCCGCCCAGCCTGCACATTCCTGCACACTATGGGCAAATAAACACAGCCAATCCACCTAAACAGTACATCTTTGGACTGTGGGAGGAAACCCACGCAGATATGGGGAGAATGTGCAAACTTCACACAGACAGTCGCCCGAGGCTGGAATCGAACCCGGGTCCCTGGCACTGTGAGGCAGCAGTGCCTCTGTGTGGCTCTAATTGTGAGTCTTTAGAATTCTTGCCCCCAAAGCACGGTATGGGCAGTCATTGAATACTTTTATGACAGAGATGGATAGACTCTTGACTAACATCGGACTCAAAGATTATTGAGGCTTGGTGAGATTGAGAATCAGTCAGATCAGCCGTAATCTTATTAAATGATGGAGAAAACTCGATGGGCCAAATAGCCTATTCCTGCTCCTAACTTGCACGCTGACATGTAAGACATTTTGCAGTGTGGCTGTAAGAGCACTGAGTATGACCCTACATCCAAGGATTGCAGTGGTCCAACAAGGTCTCCTTGCTACCACTTTCCCCAGAGCAATTAGGGATGGGCAATAAATGTTGGCATTGCCAGTGACGCCCACACCCCTTAAAGGAATAGAATAAAACTTTACAGTGAATTGCATGGCATCTGCATACTCTTGTGGGTTGCTTTACATCTTAATTGTGTCTATTTTCAAACCCCTATTTTCTTCTGATTTGACTTGCAGAAAATAAAGCAGATTTAATTGAAATGATTTCCTCCCTATTTACCAGTTTTATCGAGGATCCAATTTCTCTCTGTTTTGGAATATTTCTAGAAGGAGCACTTGGAAAGTGCTGTGGAAGAAAAATGACGATAAATCAGCGATGATTCTTTAAATACGCAGGTTAATTTTGGTGCTCATCTAAAAATAACAGAGACTATAAGAATTTAGAAACTAGATCATGCATTGCAACATGGCCAAAATTCCTTTTGAAGGTAGCTAAACTAGTTGATGAGAGGCCTATCTACTTGATACAATTTACAGGGGTCTTTAAAAAACCTTGGATTGAGTTCTACATGCATGATAAACATTAAGATTCGTAACTTTGATGGTCATTTAGTTGGAATGAACATTGTCTCGGCAATAGGAAGCTGAAGGTGATGTTAAATGGATAAAGCCCTAAAATAGACAGTGACTTGAGGTTCTGCAGTTTGCATTCTGAACTACTGCCCCTCAGGCTGTTTGTTAATGACTGGGGAAAGTTCTTGTATATCACATGAACATTAATATTTATTACCAGTGCCAAATTATGTGGTGAGGTGACAATTTTGAAGGAAATTAACTGGATTCAGAAGTCTATAGCCTGCACAAACAGACGGACTGATAGATTGCAGATGGATTTTAATGCGACCACATGTACTGTTTGTAGATTTGGGGAGACAAGCAGGTAATGTTTTAGGATGTAAAACAATATATTTATCTGCAGTTTTATTTCTGAGGAGTTACTGATTATTTTCTTCAACATAACCTAATATAATTGGGGGAGGATGCCATCTCATACTTGCTGAACCGACCCAGTATGACCACTGCCTCATAGATTATTGTGTGATGGGAAATCATGCACATGTTCTGTGATAGTCTGTTTCTCATGTTCATAGTGTTTCAGTTTCAATCAGCAGTGTGGTGGTGATTCTGAAGGATTTGTATTGTACCTTCCTCTGCCTGTCTTCAGTGTAGAGGAGGCTTGCAGTTGATGCAGCAGTCTGCACTCTGATAAGGAGTATTCGTTACCTCTGCCTGCAGTTCCTGATGTTATGTTGACTTGAGCACGTGGAGAGAGAAAGAGTGGACGCACTTTGATGAAAGCTCTGACTGAGCTGAAAGTTCTGGTGGGGCAGTAAGACAGAGTTAATATGATACATTCAAATCTTCCAGAGCATATTTTCAAGATGTTAACATGATTCCCAAATGAAATTGACATTTTCTTGAGTATTTTGGAGCTATAGTAGATAGAGAGAATAATTGCAAACTAACGTGATCTGAGTTGAATCTTGGATGTTGAATTCAACATAAACCAGGGATTGTCGGTTCGAGTCCCATTTTTGGCAGCATGGTGGCAGAGTGGTTAGAGAGGCGCTGCTGCCTCATAGCACCAGGGACCCGGGCTCAATTCCACTCAGGGGTGACTGTCTGTGTGGAAATTGCACATTCTCCCTGTGTCTGCATGGGTTTCGTCTGGTTTCCTCCCACAGTCCAAAGATGTGCAGGTCAGGTAGATTGGCCATGCTAAGTTGCCCGTAGTGTCCAGCGGTGTGTAAGTTAGGTGGATTAGTCATGGGAAATGAAGGGTTATAGGAGAAGGGTAGGGGGATGGGTCTGGGTGGGATACTTTTCGGAAGGCGGTGTGGACTTGTTGGGCTGAATGGCCTGTTTCCAACCTGTAGGGACTCTTTAATACTGCTGTCTGGTCTGTCTGATAAGACTGTTTCATTTTATTCACTGCATAGCCAATGGTTTGGAGCTTCCTTTTTATACATTTCACCCCAAAACATTGATGGCACTTTCCCCACTCTAAAGCTTGAGAGGTGCCCACATTGTTGCTTATTATTGGAGTACATTAAGTTTTTACTTGCCTTGTTTCTTGTGATGTCAGCATATAGTTTAACATTATACCATCCACCTGATTCCTCAATGGATTAAACATTCCAATCACCTTGGCTCATTGACCAACTGGAGGTTGGATATCGGTGATTAACAGTTCTATTTTCTAATATAGAAACACAGAAGATAGGAGCAGGAGGAGGCCATTCAGCTCTTCGAGCCTGCTCCACCATTCATCACAATCATAGCTGATTGTCTAACTCAATAGCTTAATCCTGCTTTCGCCCCATAACCTTTGATCCCATTCACCCCAAGTGCTGTATCTAGTCGCCTCTTGAATACATTCAGTGTTTTGGCATCAACTACTTCCTGTGGTAATGAATTCCACAGGCTGACCACTCTTTGGGTGAAGAAATGTCTCCTCACCTCCGTTCTAAATGGTCTACCCCAAATCCTCATACTGTGACCCCTGGTTCTGGACACACCCACCATCAAGAACATCTTCCCTGCATCTACCCTGTCCAGTCCTGTTAGAATTTTATAAGTCTGTATGAGACCCTCCCTCATTCGTCTGAACTCCAGCAATAACAACCCTAACCTAGTCAATGTCTCCTCGTATGTCAGACTTGCCATCCCCGGAATCAGCCCGGTAAACCTTCGTTGCCCTCCCTTGAGAGCAAGAGCATCCTTCCTCCGAAAAGGAGACCAAAACTGCACACAGTTTTCTAGGTGTGGTCTCACCAAGGCCCTATACAACTGCAGCAACACATTCCTGCTCCTGTACTTGAAACCTCTCACAATGAAGGCCAACATGCCATTTGTCTCCTTTACCGCTGCTGCACCTGCATGCTTACCTTCAGCGACTGGTGCACAAGGACAGCCAGGGCCCGCTGCACGCTCCCTTTTCCCAATTTACAGCCATTCAGGTAGTAATCTGCCTTCTTGTTTTTGCAAGGAGCATATCAGAGTTGAGCTTAGTCATGTGGGCATAAAGAAATGGAGGAAGCTGGAAGACCATTCAACCCACTAAAACTCATCCCTTTGTATTTTCAGTTAGTCATAGACTTGTATAGCACAGAAACAAATCCTTTGTTCCAACTCGTTCATGCCGACCAGATATCCTAAATTAATCTAGTCCCATTTGCCAGTACTTCAAGCCTATTATCCAAGTGTCTAATCAATGACTCCTAAAGTCTGTCCAGTTGGCTGCAGTTGTTAGAGAACAAAATGATTGCATTCTGGCTGATTTTAACTGCATTGCTTAACACCAGTGAATTCTAGCACCCAGCTGTATGAAGAATGATCTTTATGTTTTGCATGTTCCCATCCTCTGGAATAACCTAAGGAGATGACCGATGTTCTGCCTTGGGTGAAAGGACTGGGGCAGTGTTCATATTCTCATGGTCACCAGTTACTTCATAGTATTTCTCGGGCTCTGGTGCTATCTAACACTGGAATGATGAACAGAGTGACCAATGAACTCTTTATTTAACACAGAGTTGTTCTGTCAGCCACTTAGCATCAGGAGCAGTGGTGATAGATATCTAGGCTGATACAAAATGAGAAACTAACAATGGGTCTTTACAATAGAAGAGGAGCTAACTTCATTGGCAAGCTCTAGCATTCCCGGGAACCCTGTAAGTGTCTAGGAAATGATTGCCTACAGATTTCCCTTTCCAGAGCTTCTGGTATTTTCTATCCTCAGCCATGCAAAACCTCACTGTGTACTCTTCAGATGGTATTCACTGTGCCCTGACAGAGGCAGCAATCAAGAAAACTGCTTTGGCCTCAACTCTAAGGTTCTTTGGTGCAGTACTCTCGTCAAATGCTGCCTTGATATCAGATGTAGCTACTCTTGTAATTCAGCTCCCATCTATATCAAGCACTGGCGAAATCTGGAGCCAAGCAGGAACTGAACTGAGGCTTGTTGAACTAACCTGCTAATTCTTCAAGGCTCTTTGGTTTCATCCACTTAGGGAGGAAACTGATAACCTTGGGAATGATTGATTGCATTACATTTGGTAGATCTATTCTGTTTGCAATGGGAGAAAGGGATTACAACGTGTACAGAACGGGTTGGTTTCCAAGTTTGCAATTGAGGTACATTATTGGAAAAGAGTCGCAGTAGAATTGCTCAGCAACTTTCAGACCTGGATGTCTGAAAAGGAACATATATCATTTTCCAACTCAATGCACAAAGTAAATCTATCGACTTGTAGTTAAGTTCCTACATATCCAATTTAAATCAGGCATGTCGCATATTCATTACACTTCTTTTAACTGGTCTAGGTTTCCTCTGCACCCATCTGTCTGAGATTCTTGGAGAGTGTCAACACTGGTATGGTCTCCAGTCTGTAGGATTATGCTTGATAGAAAGGCAAATAAAAGACAATGCTGTAAAGCTATAACAGAGTGGGTCAGCGAAATCTAAAAGCAAACCTGAGTATGGCCAAAAGGCGTTGTGCACCACTCCATATGTGATACAAAGCTTTGACACCTGAAAGAGTTACCTTTATGCCAAGAGTGAGCTTGATGACAATCAGAAAGATCCAGTTAAGAGACAAGCAAGGCTGTAGACAGAAATGGACTTACAGTCATAGAGTCATACAGCATGGAAACAGACCCTTTGGTCCAACCAGTCCATGCCGACCATAATCCCAAACTAAACTACTTCCACCAGCCTGCTCCATATCCTTCCAAAGCTTTCCTATTCATGTATATATCCAAATGCCTTTTAAATGTTGTAGATGTACCTACGTCCACCACATCCTCTGGAAATTCATTCCACAAGCGAACCACTCTGTGTAAACAATTTGCCCCTCATGTCTTTTTTTAAATCTCTCCCCTCCCACCTTACAATTGTGCTCCCTTGTCTTGAAATCCCCCATCCTAGGGAAAAGACAATATCATTAATAAAAAGGATAACTGATTGGCATTTAAATTCAATACTTTCAGCCTATATCTGGCCATTTTGATTTCATGTTGGGCTGAAGCACAACAGTGGACACTGTTGGCGCTAACACCTTATCTTTGGAAGATCTTACTGTTTACATGCCATTGATGTTACGGACCGCCAGAGTGCCTGTCATTGACCAGTGTATCTACACCAGCTGCCTTCTGTAATAACACTGGTAATCTTTGCCAGTGAGATCTTCGTTAACTTGAGCTCAGACCAATACCTTTGCTGGAATTAGGTGCATGAGTGAGACTTATTAGATAATCATTGCAAAAAAAGTAAGTAAGTTGCTGGAACCCAAAAGAGACCACGTTTGGGATTTACAGAAGCATAACTCGCCAACAGTTGAGCTTTGTATATCAATAAATAATTTACAAGCTGACAGGAGTGATCAAATGAGGAAATATATTTTTCTGAGCTTTGTCGTGAGGGAAAAGAATAGTGGCTGTGATTGCATTGGACATGTGTTAAATACAGGTTTGCAGGCCAACTAAATATGGTTATAAGGTAAATCATATATTTATGAGGTAAATAGTAGGTTTGTAAAGTTCTGTGTTGCTCTGTTGCCTGGAGATCATGGTGGGTCTGTTGTGAATGTAGAAAGTCTCTGACTCCAAGCCAACCATGTGAGACGCCAACGAGCGAGAGACAGCAACTAATACGTTATAAGGATATATTAAAAACACATACTTTTTATCAAAGCACTATCGCTTAGGAAACCTTTAAACAGAACCCAAACAAATACAAATTAACACCATATTTAAGTGGTTGATCAGAATCCGTATTCAGTGCTGACCTTATTTAATCACCAAAATTAATGCCATATTTCAGCATTCAGCGCTGCCATTCTGGGAATAGAAATCACATTCATTATTATTATTTTCTTGCAAAGAAAGAATAACACTCCTCAAATCCCTCCACCCTGTTCAGAAGAAATTGCGAGGCTTAGAAGGTATAGTAAAACACCCTCTTTTTTCTTCTCAGTTACCCTTTCTGACCTCAGCGTTGTGTTTTCTGTTCCTACCACTTTCCCCGCTGATGGACCACTCTTCCCCAGATCTGTGTCTCTGTGGGAGTCAGCAGTTCTATGGGTCTGTTGCCAAAGTAATAATGTGTGAATTGAGATGAGTGCTGGCAGACTGGTCAGCCGATGGGATTTCTCAGCCGAAATCCAAGCCTACCAGGTTCCAGCAGGAGTCGCTGGATAATGAGCAGTAGTGGAAGTGCTGGAGTTTTTGATTCCTGTGGCTAGCGGGGAGGCAGTAGAGCCCAAGGTGCTCACACCTCCATATTGCCTGTGATCTGTTAACACGATACAGGCTTAGGTATCAAATTGTCCTCCCTGTTGCTCATTGGTACCTGACATGGTACAATACCGTGGGTCAAAAAAAAATCATTCTACAGCTCATTGGAGCATTCGCAACACAACAAAACCCCTGAGTTGCTCTCTCTGCTGAGAGTTCAGTCCAGGATGTAGCTACAACATTAGACATGCAAAACCAGTTTGCCCTTTCCGGGTCTCAAAGTGGGGAGGTTGCATTCCTCATATTGCAGTCGTCATTGTGACCTCTGTCCCCAATCATGCATTTGTCCTCACAATAGCACCATAATGTCAGGGTAATGCAGGACCATTGTCTGATGAGGTATGCATTAGGAACATAGGAGTAGGAGTAGGCCATTGAGCCCATCAAGCCTGCTCTGCTATTCAATACGATCATGGTTGATTGAACACTTCACTCCCCTAACCCCATAACCGTGTGTACAGTTGGTAATCAGAAATCGATCAATCTCTGCCTTAAACATATTCAAAGACTGAACTTCCACAGCCCTCTGTGTCAGAGACTTCCAAAGGTTCACCACCCTCGGAGTAAAAGATTTTTTCCCTGTCTCAGACCCCGCTTAAGTGGCATCCATCTCATTTTTAAATTGTGGTCTGAGGTTTTAGATTCTCCAACTAGGGGATTTCCATCTTAGCTGCATCTACCCTGTTTATTCCTTTAAGTATTTTGTAGATTTCCATGAGAGGATCTATCATTCTTTGAAATTCTAGAAGAATTATTTGTTTGTTCAATACAGTTTTCATGCATGATGCATCATTTTTACCCCCTCCAGCCACACACTCAAAATTCTAGCACCACTTTGAGTTAATGCAAGCACCTTGAATGTTCCTTGCGAGCCTACTCCTTAATTGTATCCTGGTTTACTTCTTGTTTCATTTTGACAATCAACCTGGAATCAAACTGAAGAATTTAGCTACAGTAGACCTTCCTGATTTGACCAAAATAGATTGAATTCCAACAAAACTAACATCGAGTGCTTTCTTCCCCTAGTTCCACCCTTCGTAAGGTCTTGTTGTATAACAATAGGCTGAATTTGATCTTAAAAATAGAATAAGTTTGGGGTAGGATGGTAGGATCAAAGACAAAATAATCTGTTTTGTGATGTAACCCACTTATTTCCATCTCTCACTGAGGTTAGAAGGAGATTATGGTATGAGATTGTAAGTCCTTTGGGTATTGCAGGTTTTAAAATGTAGCACACGTTGGCAGGGTTTTCCAAGGAGATGAGTGCCTTCGTATTGATTTCCTGGAGACATGTATCTTCCTGAAGGGTCTCTGAGATTGAGACATACCAACTTCCTACTGTACCTCTGCCCATCCTGCCATTCCCCCATTGCATGCCCCTTACACACCACAGGGCCTTCAACCTTCCCCTCACAGGCCTGGGTTTTGGGAATGTCCATGATTGCAAACTGCCATCCCCCATTTCCAGTTAGTGCCCTTCGCTGGCTGAGGGCATCGCTGGCTAGGCCGGTATTTATTGCCCATCCCTGTTTGTTCAGGGAGCAGTTAAGAGTCAACCACATTACTGTGGGTCTGGAGTCACATGTAGTCCAGACCAGGTAAGGATGGTAGATTTCCTTTCCTAAAGGACATTAGTGAACCAGGTGGGTTTTCCTGACAATTAACAATAGTTTCATTAGACTCTTAATTCCAGATTTTATTGAATCCAAATTCCACCATCTGCCGTCGTAGGATTTGAAACCAGGTCTGCAGAACATTATCTGGGTCTCTGGATTAATAGCCTAGCGATAATATCACTAGGCCATAACCTCCCCTTGTGATAATGTCACTAGACATGTTCTGGGGACAAGGGCTTATAAAGCCCCGCCCCCATGGTAGACAGCTGACCAAATGGTGACCATGAATTGTTGTCGAAATCCTGGTTTGCTAGTGTCTTATAGGGAATGTGGTTGACTCTTAACTGCCCTGTGGGCAGTTAGATATGGGCAGAAAATGCTGGCCTGGCCAGTGATGCCTGCATCCTGTGAACACATTTTAACAAATGGAGTCTCCCCTTAACTCTCTGGCAAGCACACACCTTAAGGTAAGTAAATACCCTCACCCCACCCCTCCCGTTGAGTGAGAAGACCTTGCTGGTTAGCTGGAGGTGCCTTTATACATGACAGGAGCAAAGCAAACTCAGGAAGCTGCAGCCCAAAGGACTGAATTTGATGCTGGATCACATGATCAGAGTGATTGTCAGGAGCAGACATGGAGGCTATCCTTCACTGAGCAGGCAACAAGCAATGGGGGCTGAAATACGAAGACGTAGCCAGTGATTTGTTTTGACATTTTGTTTTAAGTAAGTGACGTCTCAAAGGGACTGTGGAAACCTTCACAACCTAGTGTCATTTGACTTCCAGAAATCAGGTGCAAACTTTATCTGTGTAAGGATCTAGGACAATGGGCAGGATTGGATTATATGTTGTCCGATGGGTAAGCAAGAGGGGACACTTGATGGAAGGGAAAGGGAAAGTCAGTCTTTGGTCATGTCTTTCTGGATGGGTTCTGGAACCTTTACTAAGGTACTAAGTAAAGCAAGGCTCAGTAGTCATAGAGTCATACAGCTCGGAAACAGACTTTTTGGTCCAACCAGTCCATGCCGACTATAATCCCAAACCAAACTAGTCCCACCTGTCTGTGCTTGGCCCATAGCCCTCAGAACATTTCTTATTCATGTACAGAATGTCTTTCAAACATTGTAACTGTACTTGGTTCCATCACTTTCCTCTGGAAGTTAATTCCGCGCATCAACCATATCTATACCCTCATGATTCTGTAAGGTCACCTCTCAACCTCCTGCACTCCCGTGAAAAATGTCCCAGATTATCCAGCATCTCCTTGTAACTCAAACTCTCCATTCCTGGCACCATCCTGGTAAAGCTCTGCTGAACTCTCTCCAGCTTAATAACATCATTCCTATAACAGGACGACCAGAACTGGACACAATACTCCAAAAAAGGCTTCACCGATGTCCTGTACAATCTCAACATAACGTCCCAACTCTTATAGTCAAAGGTCTGAGCAATGAAGGCAAGCATGCTAAACACTTTCTTAACCACCCTGGTTATCTGTGAGGCAAACTTCAAAAAATTATGTACCTGAATCCCTAGGTCTAGTCTGAGGAAGTCTCTGTCTTGGTTGTCCCTAGGGACAAGTAGGACCCCTTCCCATTGAATCCTAGAGTAAAGAGAGAGACAGAAAAAGGAAATGAAAGAGGAAGAGAAAGATACAGGCTATGAGAGATAAGAGTGAAGGCAATAGAGTAAAGGACAGGGGAGAAACAGCATGAAAAGAAAAATCCACAATCAACAATCCAAATTCCACATAGACAGCCAGTCATTAATCAGTCTGTTGGTCAGCCCATAGCCAATAAGGGATTGTTGCCATCTTGAGCATTCTCCTTGATCTTGTGCCTTTGACCTTTGTAATCCGTTTTGCTTCAAAGCCAGCTACGTCTTGGAATTTTTGTAGGAGAGACGACATACACAGATTGATGTAGGTTTATGGATGGCGGACTGAGGGATAAATCTAAAGTTCTGGACGTCTACGTGCAGGAGGAAGTGATGAGCTGCACAAACACCCCATGACTGCTGTCTAAATAGCTAGGGACCAAGTTGAAATGAATCCAGGGTTTTTAATAGACTCCTCTCTCAACATGCCCAATTGCTGCATAGCAACAGTCAACAAAGTAAGTAGAATCCTGATTGCTGCTGCCAAAACCAGGAAGTCATGTTCAAACTGCATAGTACTTTAATCAGACTGCATCATGCATCCCTTGGGCCCAGTTTTGGTCACAGTGACACACAGAAGGCTTCCAACTTCTGAATGCAGTGTGAAGAAAAGCCATGAGACTCATTGCTTCATGTTGGAAGGTTAAATAAGGTGAAAAGTTGGGAAATGCAGCCTTTATAGATTTGAGAGGAGGCAGCCGATGGGGGCATACAAATGATATTGAAAAAACTAAAACCCAACATGACCTCAAAGTGATGATCGAAAGGCCAAGAGCCACGGGTTACAGCTATTAAAGTACTGTATTCAATACAAAAGCTAATTGAGAGATATAAATGAGACAGTTACCTCTATATCTTTCTTCCATACCTTCCACAGATGATAGCTGTACGAATAAGTTTACACCAAATCAGGTGGCCCGTATGCATTGTTACTTGGACCTGGTATATCAAGGCTGGATACATTCGAAAAAGCCATCACCCATTGCAATGGCTCCAGAAGTGATCAAGCAAACCATGAACTCTGTAACCATTCACTGGATACCTCCAATCAGTGGGATGCTGTACGAAAGGTGAGACTCTGCACAAGGTATAAGGCCATCTTTTCCAAACGGCTTGTGGGCGCAGTTCTGTCCTTTTGGTTAATTATCAAATTTGGTCAATAATTCTTTCAATTGGGAAATAATTCATTTCAGCGAAACAGGAACATGTGGATTAGAGAATTTTTGCTTGGCTGGTACTGATCAAACACCCTACATGATAAGAACATTTTTTTTCTCATTTCAGGCACTGATAGACTTGCTGCCTATTAGGAGTCCCTTCCATAATTCACTGAGATGTTGGGAAGATGAGATTTCAAGATATGTGCTTCATCATAGCACAGTTTGATGATTATTACTGTTCAGCATTTGAGTTGAAAGTTATGCATTATGATGGGAACTGCTCACATTTATTAAAAAAAAACAAAGGCACTGCGGGTACTGAAAATCAGGAACGAAAACAGATATTGCTGAAAAATCTTAGCAAGTCTCGCAGCATCTGTGGAGAGAAATCAGAGTTAATTTTTCAGATTCATTGGTTCTGAAGAAGGGTTAACCCTGCTTTCTCTCTACAGATGCGGCTAGAACTGCTGAGTTTTTCCAGCAATTTCAGTAGTTACTTTTGGTATTTGCATTTATTGGTCTCATTACGTCATCTCAAATAGTTATGGACCGAATCGTATCTTGATTGTGTGGAGGCAAACATGTAGACCAGCTGTACCTCACTGATAATAATGGGATGTACAATGAAGGAAAACCCAGGAAAACTTGCAAATGATCCATAATAGCCTGATTTGCCTTGTATACATCAAACTGGAGGTCCAGTACAACCAGTACCTTCATTTCCAAGTGTTACTCTTTCACTGGTTTACACCGTGAACCAATTGGTGACCAATTGGTTATTTTGTGCTAGTTTTTAGTCACCAGATGGACACGGGGAAGTTGCAAGTTTGAGGATCTCATGAATTTGGTCTTCAGGCCTCAGTTAGTTGATGGCTGTAGGTGTCCATGTGATGGTAGAGTGACAAATCCAACTTCAGGTCACCTCTTTCACCAGCATGGCCCGCGAGGGGCTGTAAGAGTGGGAATGAGCCCCTCTTATTTGCCCTAGATGGCTGTGTGATGGGATCTGGTCTTTGCATTTCATCTGACAGACAATGAAACCTGCTTTTTGCGAGGCTCGGAGCAACCCAGGAAATCTCCCACCCGAGCCACACTATCAAATACTTAAACTTCCGAGGTGACAGGACAGAGTCACGAAGGGCATATCCCAAATAGTTTAGGACTAATGTACGTCAGCATCCGGCAGAGAGGTAGGTGTTCCTGCATCACTATAGTGAGGGTTAGCTTCTATCGAATTCTAATTGTAAGGAGTTTTTTTATTGAATGTTGCTGTAGAAGGAAAAGCAGTTTTCTATGATTACCACCCTTGAGTTCAACTGCAGCTAGGCTATCCACAATTAGGCTGATCTCAAGTGCCACCATGTAGGCTTCGTATATGAATTTTAACCATTTCTTTTCTGTCAAGGGTACTTTAACTGGGAGCAGGGGGAGGTTGTTCAGGCCTTTGAGCTTGCCCCACCATTCTAGCTTATGGCTTTATTATCTCCTCAATGTTGCTTTCCTGCACTCCCAGCATACCTCTTCATGTCAGGTGTCTTCAGAAGCCAATTGATTTCTCTCTTGAAGCTACTCAACGATTGAGCTTCCACAGCCCTCTGGGAACTGGAACTCCAAAGTTCACCGACCTTCGAGTGAAGACATTCCTCCTCATCTCCATCTTAAATCTCCGTCTCTTTCGGCGACTGCTTTTAAATACATCAGCCAGGGAAAATACTCCATCTTACCACTCAGTGACAACTTCACAAGGTTCACTCAGATCACCTCTCTGTCCACAAAACTCTAGAAAATACAGCCTCGGTTTCCTTGATCTCTCCTCTGAAAACAGTCATGTTGCTCCAGGAATTAATCTGGTGAACCTCCGTTATCTCCTTAAAGTACTCCAGGTTGCACCGAATCCAATAGGTTGATGTTTGATGTATCCTTTGTAGAGAAATCATCTGGAACCTCATAGAATCCCTATAGTGTGGAAAGAGACCATTTGGCCCATCAAGTCCACACTGACTCTCTGAAGAGCATCCCACCCAGACACCTACCCTATCCTTGTAACCCTGCATTTCCCATGGCTAATCCATTTAGTTTGCATATCCCTGGACACTGGGGAATTTAGCATGGTTAATCCACCCTAACCTGCACATTTTGGACTGTGGGAGCAACCTGGAACACCCAGAGGAAAGCCATGCAGACACAGAGAGAAAATGAAAACTCCACACAGATAGTTGCCCAAGGCTGAAACCGAACCTAGATCCCTGGTGCTGTGAGGCTGCATTGCTAACCACTGAGTCACCGTGCAATCCCTATTTCATTTCATTCTGCCCATAACTTGCATTCAAATTACTCCAAAAAGACAGACTGCTCCAGTCCCTGGCAACATACTTGCTGTACTATTTGACATGAAGGACATTGTTGTTCAACTGCTAAATCTCTCTGTATTTCTTCTTCTATTCCTGAGCTTGAGTGGTCATTGAAGAGAACAACTGCGGGTTGATTTGGCATCAACTTTTTTTTTCAGTTTTTGGAAGCCAGTGGATTTCAGGAACCCAGCACATGGAGAAATACAGGGCATGAACCTTAGTGTGATGGCTCCCTAATACCCTGATGAATGCCTAGTCCCTTGGCAAATTAGATTTCAAGTAACATCAGCAGTACGTGCAGTACTGATACATCACAAGGTGGTGTCTGAAAAGATCTTTCGTTCTGTATATTCTCTGAAAGACGAGTACTCCATATTGAATAGGTACGTAAATGTGGTGAATAGCTTTGCAAAAGGTGAATAATTGGGAGAGAATTAAGTCTTAACTATATTCTTAAAAGTCAAAAATATCATTGTGAAGATCTGTGTTTCATTTCTAGAGGGTGAAAGGCAGAGGATAGCACAGAGTTGTGTCAAAGTAATGCCCGTTCAGTGGTCTGCAGTGTCCTGTGTAGTTTGTAATGAGCACTTCCTGTCTCACACGTTCTCTGTGAGTTGGATGTTGACAGGGGTGGTAAATATTTCTCTGGTCTTAAAATGTCACAACGTTGGGAATCTGTTGATGAGCTTACATTATTATTTCTGATTAAATCCTAAATATGTGCTAAAGAAAGCTGTTTAAATCCACTCATTGATTGTCAAACAAAAAGTAGGGTCTGAATGACAAATGAAGCTAGCAGCTCGTCAGTGGTGGGAATGTGGAATTTGCTATCACAGGGGATAAATGAACAATGTCAATCTACGTCAGGGGAGGTGAGCTAGGAGTGAGAAGAGACAGGATGTATAGGACATTAATATTGGCGTTGTCTGGTTGGGCTGAATGGTCTGTTTTTGTGCTGTATGCTTTATGAAACTGTCCTTTCTCCTCCAGGACCTGGCTTTGGGTCTAGGCCTTTCTAATGGGCACTGTTTACTGGCTGTTCAGGTGCTGTGCAAAGTGGAATTTGAATACTCTCAGACTCGTTTACGAATTTATCAGCAGCCTAGCTGCAATTCAGAGCAACTGAATGAGACCATTCAGCTCTTTTCTGTTTGATTCATGGGATGTGGGCATAGCTGGCTAGGCCAGCATTGGTTTCCCATCTCTATGAGCAATTGAACTGAATGTCTTACTAGGTCATTTCAGACAAGGAGTCAACCACTTCAGTGTGGGTCCAGAGTCACATGTGGGCCAGACCAGGGCGTGAATAAAAAATTTCCTTCCTTTAAAGCACTTTTTGTATGTAGCTGCAGTTGTAATGTTAGTAACATGGCATCCACCTGAAAGGCAGAAAGATCCTATAAAATGGAATGTGACCGTGATCCGTTCATCTGTTTTAGTGAGGAGAGATCATATTGGCCAGGTAGAGCTCCCTTGCACCTTTTTGAAGAGTAAACGCAT